ACACACACACACACACACACACACACACACACACACACACACACACAACATTGTTTAAGTACCACTCCTCTGTAAGCCCTCTCTGATTTCCCCTCCAGACTCCAGTCGGTGCTGGGGTGGATCCCACTGCATTTTCTGTGTTTTAAAGTCTGCCTCTATCACTACTGCAGGGTCTCTCATCTCCTGGACCCTCTTCAGGCTAGCCAGGGCATTTGTCACCTGGAATAAAACAAATGCCTCTCTTCCTGAGCTGGCTCCTGCTGGGACACTCCTGGGCAGGTAAGGATTTCCAAGTCCACCCAGCCAAACTTGGTATTTCCATATTAAGGCTCCACCTGAGCCTCGGCTCCTCTCTGTCCCGTCCCTAGTGCCTCACCCCAATGATCCTGTTCCTGGCGTCGAAGATCCGTCTCTGCCTGCACAGGTCCATGTACCGTCTCTTGGCTAGGCTGGCCTCCTGTTGTAGGTCCTTAGGCATCGCTACCTCCATGGCTCTGGGATTCGGCGTGGCTTCAGGAGTTTTCTAAACAAACACTGTAAGAAAAGCCCTCAGAAATAAGCAAGCTACAGCGCCGAGAAGCAGCGCCCACAAAAGTTTGAGAGCAAGAGTTTCCCCGGCGGCGGCGGATTCCCAGGGGAAACGCCAACCTCCGTTGCTAAGCAACGGCGCCTCTCTCGCTCGCTCGCGCCAGTCTCGCGAGACTTTAGAAAAAGTTTCTTCCCGCGTTTTTCTCACTGGCGCACGAGGAAGCGGCTGAGGCACGGAGCGCAGCCATGGGGCACCTTGAGCTGCTGCTCGTGGAGAATTTCAAGTCGTGGCGAGGCCGCCAGGTCATCGGCCCTTTCAAGAGATTCACCTGCATCATCGGCCCCAACGGCTCCGGTAACCAGCGCCCCAGAAATCCACGGGCCACTGTCGCCCACGGTAGACCTGAGGGGACCCAGGGACCCACTCTCGCCTGTTGTTGGCCTGAGGGGACCGAGCCACCCCCAGGCCCCGCTGTCGCCTCATGTGGGTCTGCCGGGACCGAGACCACATACCCCAACTCCGTCGTTACTGTTGTAGTCCCGAGGGGACCCAGGGCCCTCTGGAGGCCTCAGGGAACCCGGGTCCCATGTTAGACTGAGAGGGCTCACTGTCGGCCTGAGGAAACCCAGGGCCCTGCCTGCGCCCATTGTTGGCCTGAGGGGACCGAGGCACCCCCAGGGCCCCGCTGTTGCCTGCTGACCCCCCTCCCCTTCTCTCCCCCTTCCTGCCCCGACTCCGCTGTTGACTGTTGAAGGCCCAAGGGATCCCAAGGACCGGCTGTCGGCTTGAGTTCCCCCATCCTTTGTTGGCCTGAGGGGACAGAGCCACCCCAGTCCCTGCTGTTGACTGCTGTAGGCTTGAGGGGACCCAAGGGCCCGCTGTTGGTCTGAGGGAACCAAGCCCAGCTCCACCCCACCTCCCCATGTTCCCCAGCTGTCTGAGGGGACCCAGGGGCCTCTGTAACCCCATTGTTGTCCTAAGGGAACGGAGCACCCCCACCAAACCGACCCCTTCACACCCCTTCACCCACTGTAGGCCTGAATGGGACCCAGGGACCTGGGGACCCACTGGCTTGAGATTTCAATGTTTCCAAATGGACTAGGCCCAAGAGCCCCAGAATCCTGCGCCACCAACCCTTGCTGGCTGTCCTCACCCCTGCCTGGCCCTCCTTCCCTGTAGTCCCGTGTCGCACCCCACCCCCATCTCAGCCCAACAACAGAAAGTACCAAGAATGAAATAGATTTGGCCTTTGTTGGGGAAAAAAAAACACTTGTAACCCAAGCTTAGTTAATATGAAAGGGAATTTTAGAGCCTAAACGATAATTTCTAGAATAGTTTTCCTAGTGCTGCGTTTAAATCATTCACTGCAGATGTCTCCGGTCTGAGCACTTAAAGTTTTATAGTTCTGATAGAACAGACTCATCTTTAATATTCCTTATCTAGCAAATATACCCTTGGGTGAAGATCTCCATGAATACCCTGTGGATTAATGATTTGCTAGGAGATCCTTCAGTGTTTACTCAGGGTTATTATGCATTATAGTTGAGAGATACAAAGCAGACTCAGCAGTGGGAAAAGATAAATTCCTTCAGCAGTATGTTCTCATGTTGAAATGTCACCTACCAAGGAATCTCATGGACACAGTGCACAGGGAGGTGGCCATGCCCTTTTGCCTAGGACATACCAAAATTCCAGACTCCTAGAAGGAAGCACGTACTTAATCCTAGTCATGTTTCACCAAGTTTAGGTACCATGAGCCATTATTACAAAGAAATTGTCGAAACCCTGCCCAGATTTAAGTATAAAAACCATGAAGATTCTAGCAGTCTTATTCTTTAGAGGATCATACAGTTAGCATTTAGCATTTTCAATTTTTTAAGTATAGAGGTGTACTGTGCTGTTGTAATGTTTATGTGACTATTTCTCTATAAAATGGGAGTTACTAAAATAGAGACGTTAAATGATTTGCTCTAGTGTGGTATCCAGTAATAGGAGAGTGCTGAGATCCATGTTTTGTTTAATTTTATTTAATTCAGTTTTGATTCATGTATTTATATCCTAACATTCATGCCTCTCTGCCACAGCTACATGAAAGAAACAGGCCACCTACCTGGAGATTTTTTGTAACATGGATTTTAAACATTGACCAGACAAGACTTCTGAGACTTGTATATTGGTTATATTTCACTTCTGTTGGTAGTTTGATTTCTTTGATTTTGAGAAAGTTTTCAGTCTTTAAGAATGAATCTTTAACTCTTTCTTCTCCAGGAAAATCTAATGTAATGGATGCACTTAGTTTTGTAATGGGAGAAAAAGCAACTAATTTAAGAGTAAAAAACATTCAAGAACTTATTCATGGAGCACATATTGGAAAACCTGTTTCTTCTTCTGCAAGTGTGACGATTATATACATAGAGGACAGTGGAGAAGAGAAAACATTCACAAGGATTATCCGAGGTAGAGAGGCACAGAAGAAGGGTCCGTGTGTGTGCGTGTGTGTGTGTGTGTGTGTGTGTGTGTGTGTGTGTGTGTGTGTGTTCAGGGTCAGATTGCCTGCTCTCTGAAGTCTGGGACTTACTAATCACTGGTATAGTGAGTACAAGATTTCTTTTTCTTAGAAGCATGTAACAGAACCTGTTTTATTTCCTATTTAAGACTCTTGCTTAAGCTGACTCACTTGTTCTATACTCTGTCAAGTAACATTTTTATACTTGGATATTTGCTTAAGATGAAGAAAGGAGTCTATCTCTAACATGGAAATATCATACAACTTCTTCCTCAGCTTCTCTTTGCTTGTTTTCTTAATAAATAATTACGTGTATATTTTGGCTTATATACACCTAGAAACAACTTGAATAAAATGTTTATTATTATCTATTCTTGAATTCCCTGTGTTACTCTAATAAACGATTATGTTTCATCTGTAATAAATATATCATGCTTGGGCTTTATAGAGTTATAAAAAGTAGGTATATATTTTATTATTGTTTCTTTATTATTGTTTTTATTTCACTAAAATACATACTCCCACCTTCCTTCCTTCTCTCATTCCCTTTCTTGACCGAACCTTGCAGTCCAGACTGACCCCAGGCTCTAAAGTATGGACATTGCACACATCCACTATCATGTCTGACTTTATTACATTTCTAAAGAATGAAAACTGTATTACTAACTTAAGTTATATATATTTAGAAACATGATTTAAGTATTTTTGCATTTTATTATTTGGAGTAGTCATTGGACAGTTTTCTCACTTCCTTTTGAACGTCTATTAGTTGTGATAGGCTCTCAGTGTGTTGTTAACACAACCTCAAGTGATCCTCCTAAAGGAGCTAGCACTGTAGGCCATACCTAGCCTTTAGCTTTTTAAATGAGAATTTCTTCATTTTAATAAAAATTCTTTTGATCACTGTATTAAAAAGTATAATACCAGCTGGGCATGTTGGTGCATCACTCAGGAGGCAGTGTCAGGCAGATCTCTTGTGATTTCAAGGCCAGCCTGAACTACAAATCAAGTTCCAGGACAGCCAGGGTTGTCACACAGAGAAACCCTGTCTTGAAAAACCAAGAAAAAAAAAAAAAAGCAATACCTTCCTCAAATGCAGAAACATCCCAACCATCTTTCTTTTCCATCTTTTTCACTCCTTTCTGATAACCACTTTCTCACATGCTATTTTATTTGAATATTTTGTTTATATTTCTAAGATATGAATTCTTTGAGATCACTTTGTATGTTACTACTGTGAAATAATATTCAGTATATAATATTTGTTGAGTAATTAAATGAGCTTATTTATAGGTATATTAGTTATACTATTGTAAAACTAGTCATTTCAATAAAAAAAACATTCTGTAACAGCTTATTTTACTTACTTTAGGGGGGTGCTCAGAATTTCATTTTGGGGATAAACCTGTGAGTCGTTCTGTGTATGTAGCCCAGTTGGAAAACATAGGCATAATAGTCAAAGCACAGAACTGTCTAGTTTTTCAGGTAAGTAGTTGTACTCATTTTATTTGATTCATTTTTAAAACACGTTACCGTATTTTACATGCTGATGTGCTTTACTGTTACTAATAGGGAACTGTAGAATCAATATCCATGAAAAAGCCCAAAGAGAGAACCCAATTTTTTGAAGAAATCAGTACTTCAGGAGAATTTATAGAAGAATATGAGGCAAAGAAAAAGAAGTTACAAAAAGCTGAAGAAGATGCACAATTTCATTTTAACAGGAAAAAAAATGTAGCTGCAGAACGGAAGCATGCAAAAATAGAGAAAGAGGAGGTAAGGTGTCCTGAGGATGTTACTAGTTAGTAAGTACATAGTAAATAGAAAAATGATGTTAAATTTTTAAGTTATTATCTGGATATGGTGGCGCACACCTTTAATTCTAGCACTCACTGGACAGAAGCAGACAGATCTCTTAGTTTGAGGCTAGTCTGGTCTACAGAGCTAGTTCCAGAACAGCCAGGGCTATACAGAGAAAGTCTGTCTCAAAAAAATTAAAACAAATGAAAAACCCAGTTTATTAGCTGTGGGCTACTAAAAGATTCCGTCAATAATGTGAAACAAAATCTGGCATTCAGTAGAAACCTTTTTTTAAAAAAAGGTAAATAGTTGTAGACATTTAGTGTGTGTGTGTGTGTGTGTGTGTGTGTGTGTGTGTGTAGTGTACACATGCATGCGCATGTACAGGTCTGTGTGTGGTAGTTAGAAGACACTTTGCAGGATTCAAATATCATTTCACCCCATGATTCCTGGAGACTGAATGTCTTGCTTGGCAGCAAACACACTTACTTTCTATAGCATCTTACTGTCCCAAGGTAAACTCTATATATCTGCCTATAAGAGTACAGCAGAGGTACTCAACACTTTTGGGTATTAATTCTTGTACACTTGTAAGCGTGATTGAGGATCACTAAGAGTTTTTCATAACAAATAACATTACCAATATTTATTATATTTTATTTATGTTTGCCAAGGACTAGCCTCAGCCAGGTCCGGGTTCTTGAGAGAGGGGTGTTTGAGAGCAGCGAAAAGACACTACAATCATGGGTACAAGCTGGTAGCCTATGCTCTGCTGAGATG